GTCCCACATGGTGTGACAGACCTCCCCTGCCTCGCCTGCTGCTCCTCTCAGCAGTGTACATCGTCAGTCTGCCTGTTTTGCTGTCGGCTCTGGCTCTGGTGAATTCTCTCACCCTCCCGCGCTTCTGACTGTACCCGGTGCTTGTATAAATAAATCTTTAAAAAAAAAAAAAAAAAGAAAGAAAGAAAAATATATCATTCATCTTTCTATCATGAATTTCTCTCAAAGAAAAAGCTTTTATTTACATATATACTACATGTCATATATAAAATGTTTGTATGGCAAAAAAGATTGACACCTTTCTACAAGGTAAAGAAAAACCTGAACTGCTGCACTCACCTCCCTAAAAGCACTCACCTCCCTAAAGCACTCCTATAAGCACAATTACAAAATATTTTTGCCAACCACATCACAAACAATTATTAATGTACTAACTTCAGGTCCATGTTTTGAGCTTCTCCTGGGCCAGGTGTGCGATGGGAAATGCTGTTTATGGTAACATCTCATTGGATCATCTGCTGACAAAGCACATTTTTAAAGCTTAGCCATAATCATCCTAATTAGACCATCAAATGTCAGGACTTGCTGTGTGAATTTGATTAATTCTAGCAGTCTCTGTGGTGCAACTGATGTTGCCGCATCAAAGGAGTGACTCTTCCTTGGAAGCAATTTCCTTATGCTTATGGCCTCTCCCCTTCCACTTGTCTGTATTCAAAAATTTATAAGGAGGGTTTGCAATGCTGCCCCTACAAGTCTGTGAAACTTCTTTTAGCTGGCAATCACATCCAAACCCTTTTATAAACCTATGTGATTGCCTTTATACTTTTTTGTGGCACTTAATTTATTATACAACTTATGATATGTAAAACAGATTGTTAGATGTCTGTATTCCACTAGATTGTGAGGAATTTATTTGTTCATCTTTGATCCTCTCTGAGGGACTCACTGTCCTCAGTGCTCTCACACATTTGACATGGTTATGCAGAAGAGGTTACCTGAAAACCAACACCCAATCTTCCCTCTCCCATCCCCACAGGCCCCTCACACTAACCAAACACAGAATCAATACAAGGATATTTGTTTTCTTAATGAAAACATGCCTCATGTTGTTCATTTAGGGATTTATATTTTTAAATTTATTTATCCCAATGCCTTTAAGTCGTTGTGTAATTTCATATGTCAACATGGCCAGGCTCAGATATTTGATCAAACACTAGTCTGGATAGTGCTGTATTTGAAGATACCTTGTAGATATGATTAACATTTATGGTCAGTAGACTTTAAATAAAAGAGATTATCCTCAATGATGTAGGTGAACCTTAATCAGTTGAAGGGTTTAAGAGCAAAAACTGAGATTTTTCTGGAATAAAAGAACACTAATTCCTGAAGAAACCATAGCAATTATGCCTATGGATTTAGGACTCAAGACTGCAACCTCAACTCTTTTTTTTTTAATTTTTTTTTAAAAATTCATTTATTTATGCAAGATCGGGGGTACAGACCAGATGTGTGGGAGGGTGAGAGGATTCACCAGAGACAGAGCCGGGAACAGAACAGGCAGACAGACCTACGAAATACCCTGCTGAGGGGAGCAGCGAGCTAGACAGGAGAGGTCTGCCATGCCATGTGGGATTCTCGCTGGCAGACTGAGATTGAACTCGCGCTGCAGAGGCTGCCGACAGCTTCACAGTGCAGCACTCAACCATTGCGCCACCAGGGAGGCCCTGCAACCTCAACTCTTGCTGAGTCTCCAGCCTGCCAGTCTGCCTTACAGATTTGTAAGCTCTCACATCACATAAACCAATTCTTTGCATATACATCCTATTGGTTCTGTTTCTCTGGAGAACCCTAACTAACATGGTTGGACTTCAAAGCAGTTGTTGGCAGCACTCTGTTTGCCCACCGGTGACTATGCTGGTGCCTCTTTTCACCCACTCTCTCCCTCCGCAGGGTAGCAGCTTCCTGCCTGCCGTGACCTGTACCTTCTGGGACTTCTCTTCACTGACCTCCCTCAGTGGAGGCAGCTCTCCTCAAGGCTGCCCGCCTGCAGCCATGCAGGCCTCTCTCAGCAAACCTGTCCCTTTGGGGGCAGCTCTTCCTGCATGCTGGTGTCTATGCAAGTGTCTTTTACTGTTTTATCCCTCCCCTAATAAACCTGCCCTTTAAATATAAAAAAAAGGGCAGTTATTTTTATATTTCTGAACATTTTGTTAAATGAATATACCTGTGTTCTTAATTTTGTTATACTGCATAAGGGTAGGCACAACAATGGCACCTCTCCTGGGGAGTAGGAAATTTTACACCAGCGATTTCCAACATGAAGCTCTACTTGAGCCCAGAGAGAGCAACCCACATAAGTATTATGGTCTATATACAGTCCTATGCAATAAATCCTGACCAGTTGCCAATAAAAAAATCCAAGAAGTTGGATCAAAACATTGTTTTCTGGAAAAGTTGAGGCATGTTCAGGGCATGTCTCTAGCAGAGGAGGGTTTTAACTGTTAATCCAACTCCAAATAGGGGTTGGTATGTCCAGTTTCCATTGCCACATTCATCAAGAGGGCCTGTGACTTTTGGAAGTCACTTTTATAGCTGTAATGGATGTAATGGAAAAAATAATAAAAATTACAAATTTTCTTTTATGTTTATGTTTGTTGAAACTGCTGCCAGTTTATGGATATCTAAGAAGTTGAAGCAAAGAAGGTAGACCTAGTTTATTTTAATTTAGCCTGGAATTTTTCAGTTAAGTCCTGGAAATTTTTAAAGAAACATATTGCAATGATTTTAGAATTAAAAAAGTCTCAAATCCCACTTCCTAGACCTCAATGTTCCCTATAGTTGCACACTTTTTCCTTATATCACATAACAGAGCTCTCTATGCCCACTATAAAAGCGAAGTTTTGTATTCAGATCAAAACTCTAAGGATTGAGAAGGTGGTGAACTTCTCTGAACTCAAAGGACTAACAGATTGAAAGTTACACTGACATTTGATGAAAAGGAGTGCAGATTTTGAAAGCTATTTATAGATCTTGGTAATTGAGTGTGTCTCTGTGATTTTGGGGATACAACCACAAGGTGTGTGTGATTAAAAAGCTCCTGCCCAATTAGGGTGGCACATTTTCAAATGAAATGATCTGTGCGAAAAGCAAACTACTCCTATTACTACACCATCTTAGTGAATATTTAGAGTTTACTATGAAAAGGAATGAGATGTGAAAGGAAATACATTAATAATGAATGATTGAGTGTATCAGTGCTGTTCTCCTTTTTCAGTGTCCTAAAAGGAACAGTCCTGCCTTGCTAGACCAATTCTTTTGGGTTTTTATGATTCAGGAGAGCCCAGGTTGGGGGGAAAGGGGTGTAGATCTGAAGACCACCAGGGTTCAGCAAGTTTTGAGAGACAGAGGTGTACAAGCAGCTACCCTGTGTGAGAACAGTGAATGGAAAAAAACAAGTGTTGAAGGTAGCAGTGTTTGTTCTTTACCTGCTTCTCAGTGTTAGGGTTATGAGAATTTTTTTAAAAAGTTATTTTGAAATGAGCTTTGAAGGACTTGTACATGTTTTGAATATAGTACTGCTGTGGATCACTTGCACCACAGGTTTATAAATATCACACACACAAAAATACTGAGCTACAGAAATTTCTGGACAAATCTTGAGTAATGCTTGGGGCTACCCAACTCTTTTATGAAATTCATGGGTAAAACAACCTCAATTAGATCGTTATGAGTTTAGAATGAAAACCCTCCTAGAACAGTTTAGGGTGTAAATATCAATATCCTCTTTAACTTGACTAAGTAACCCTTCCTACAAAAGCATAATTTCTTTTTTACATATAAATTTACTGTACTGATTTCTGCACATTGAGAGCTGCTAAAAAATTATCACTTTCAGTTGCTAACAGGCTATAATCACCACCAACAATAAAAATTTATTCATGGAACTGGGCTAAAACCATGCTCCCAGGCCTGGTAGGCAGTGAAGAACTTAGTTAATCCGTAACTTAAAAATCTGTTCTTGAGTAATTTACAAGTTTCAATCAAAAGCGAGAAACCTGGCTTTTTTAAGAACAACCAAAAAAGATATGCCTTTTTTTTTTTTAATTCTGGCCCTTTGATGTATGAAAGTGTTTTCACAAAACTATTACCATGGTGTCAATTCAATATAAAAAGTTGGGAAGCTGTTCCTCCTTTTCTTCACAAAAGTTAATGTATGTTTCCCACTTTTTATATTTGCTCAAAGATCAAGCTTTGCATCCTGGAAAACCTTGAGAAGTGTCTCAGAAATAGGAACCCTGAATTCTCAAGGTTTCATTTTTCCAGCCAACACCCCTGGAGCTGCACCTTTGTGCTGTACTCAGTGCCACACCTGGACACAGCGGTCCCCAGATCCTACCTGCTCTGGGGTGACCTCGGCCGGGGAAGCCCAAAGGGTGAGTCCTACACAACCACCCTTAAATATCCATCACGGGACACCCCCACACTTGACTTGCCTTCAATTACTACAGCTAGAAGGACGAGGCTCAGCCCCTAAATGCCAAGTTTCCCGGCCCGTCTGGTCCACGTCGCCCAGGAGGCTCAGGGTCTATCTAGCGAGCTGAAGCCCCAGAGCTGGGTCTAGACTCGCCTCCCGGCCGGAGGGTGTCGGGGTGCCGGTGGGCGAGCGGAGACCAGAGGGGCCGGCAGAGGCCCAAACGCAGTCCAGGGACCGGGCTCCGCGACCCTCCGTCGACTCCGCGCGACGCTGGGGTCTGCGCGCCGCGCTTGACACGGCTGAGCGCGCCGCGCGTCCGCGCCGCGGGGCCCGGGTCTCGGGGCGGGGGTGGGGGGGAGAGAAGGGGCGGGCTCCTGGCAAGGCCCCGCCCCTAACCCCGCCCCCCAGGCGCGCGAGCCCGTCCCGCGCGGCGCCAACCCTTTCCCGGGTCATCGCCCCTCCCCTCTTCCGGGCCGCGAGCCCCCCGCGCGCCGCTTCAGGGCCGCGCTCGCCCGCCCGCGCGCGCTCGCCTCCCGCCGCCTCTGCGCGCGCGCTGGGCCGCCCGACGACGCGGGAGCCGCACGCGCCGGACGAGGCTCGCGGTGCTCGCTGCCGCCCGGCGCCGGCCCAGGCAGGCGGCCCCCGGTTCCCGCCCGGAGACGGTCGGCCCCGCGAAACCTGCTGCTCGAGAGCTGCCGCGGCGGCGGTGAGGACGCCGGGCTGAGGGGGGCGGCCTCGGCGGGGCTGAGGCGCCGGGGGAGGGAGCTCGGGCGCCCGGGCGGCCACGTCGGAGGCTCGCGTGCGGGCTGCGCCGGGGACCCGCGCGGAGGACGGGCTCGAGCCCGGCGGGGGCGGCCCGGGAGGGCGTCCGCGGGACCCTGGGCGGGATCGGGACGGAGGAGACGCCGCCTGGAGGCTCCTGCCACGTTTCCACGGCGCGGTCGCCTCCGCGGGGGGTGGGCGGCTGCTCCGCGCCCCCCACCCTCGGGCTCCCCCTCCGCGGCGCGCGCGTCCCGGGGCCGGGGCCGCCCGCCGGCTGAGGGGGTCGCGCCTGAGGGAAGCCCGCCCTGGAGCCAGGGTCCCGGGGGCGGCGCCCCTCGCGAGGCTGCGGGGCCGGAGGCGCCCGCCCCGGACTCGGGGCCGCCGCGGGGCAGAAGTTGGACGCGCTGGGGAGACGCGGGCGCCCGCTCCCCTCGGCGCGCTCGGCCGGCGCGGGGGCGCGTCGGGGCTGGCGGCCGGCGCGGCCGCTCCCGCTCCTGGGGGGCCGCCTGCCCCCCAACCCCTCAGCGGCGGGGACGTGGCTCTCGGCCCCTCGCGACCCCGGCGCCCGCCTCCCGCTCCCTCAGCCCGGGGCGTCTGTCAGGGGAAAGGCCGGTTCCCAGAGCCGCCCTCGGCGGCTTCTCGTTGCAGGGGAGAAAGAGTCAAAGTTGGAAACTCTTGGCAGGCCCGACCGGCTTTTTCTTGGGGGGAGGGGGTGCACCCCGCCGCCGGGAGCCGCGGAGCCTGTGGAACAAAGTAGAACTTGAGGAGCCTCTGCCGAGGTGACGACGTCCTGGGATGACGTCACCGAGCGATGTTTAAAATGGGAGCTTTGGGTTCCGAGTGTGGGTGGGGGCGCCGCGCGCCGGACCCGCGCCCCGAGACCTGGCTGGCCCGGCGGGGCTGGATGGGGCGCCCGCTGCCACCTTTCGGCGCTGCTGGAGTCGGGCGGGTGGGGGGTGGGTGATTTTTCAGCTATTGCAGCCACCATCCCTTCAAAGAGGGAAAAAAAAAGTAATTCCCTATGACTCATCTTGTGTTACAACCAAAAACAACCACTAAGTGGTTCTTTCCTCTCTTCCTTTTATTTTCTTGATGTGAAACAGCAAAGAAAGAAAAAAAAAAACCCGAAAGCAGATAAGCAGAACAGAGTTGGCAAATTGAATGAATGAGGAGAATGAGCTAGTTAAGAATCCTGAATCCTGCCCATTTCTTTAGTGTGGGTCCTTGTTTTCTTGGGTGGGGTGGAGGCTCATGTAGTTCCATCAGCACTTTTCACCCCTGACCGTATATTAAATTGCAGAGGGTTTGCTTTTCCATCCTAACGTGGTGGAAAATAAATCCAGCTTTATGAGGTGGGAATGGTTCGCATTTTTTCAGAACAAGGCTCACAGCAGTTGTGGAGGAGACTGGAGTTGTGTGTCTGCACACTCTTGGGGAGCCCAGTTCCTGGTGCCTGGTAGCTGGCCATAGAGGGTGGATTTGGTATTCCAGGGTTCCGGCAGGAAGGGTTTGGGTGTCTTCCATCCAGGACTGTCGCTGCCAGCACACCTCTCAGATAACTATATAGAATTTATTTCACAGTGAGGTCCCTTGTTTGAATTTGCACAAGGAGTAATGCAGTCTATAAAGACAGTCTGTAAGATCAGGTTCGAGAAAAGAAAAAGGAAGCTAATAGAATCAGCTTTATTTTTTGAATGTGTAAGAACTCAAACTCTCAGCTAGGCTAGTCAGTTTTTACACTAAACATAGCAGAGGTTGTGTGTCTTTAATAATTGGCTTCAGAAAAGGTGATGTTGCTTCATAAATGCAGCATGTGAATAATTCCAAGTTACTTGCAGCAGCCAAATGAATGAGCTCATCGCTTAAAGACAGAATATACATTGAAACTGGGGATATGCCTTTATGGATTAATCAATGATAAATCAGATCTGCCATTTAGAAAGAGTCCTTGAGGCAATTCCAAAATACAGTTCAATCTGTGATTATTTCCTTTAGTTTGATTTTCTGTAGATGACCCTGAATTGCTACTCCTTTAAATGTTTTGATAGTACAATTCGTTTTTGTCATCTTTTGGGTACATATATCTCTGTTCCCAAAGAAATGCTTACAGAAGCTCAGTGTTGGAATTCTTTTTCTTTATATATAATAGCTCTATTGGAATATAATTCACTTACTATACCGTTAACGCATTTGAAGTATACAGTTCATTGGCTTTAGAATATTTTCAGGCTTGTACACTTACACCATAGTCAATCCTGGGATATTTTCATTAACCCCAAAAGGGGGGTTTTATTAGCACTCCTTTCCCACCATCCCTCCTACTCCTAGGCTACTGATCTACTTTCTTCTAGATTTGCCTATTCAAGACATTTCATGTGTTTATTTCATATATTCATTCTATAAATGGAATCCCAATATTTCCTGTGTGTGTGTGACTAGCTTCGTTTCCTTAGCTCAGTGTATCCCAGGTTCACCCATGTTGTGGCATACATCAGTACTTCATTCTTTTTGCTGTGGAATAAAATTCCATTACATATATATGCCTCATACTTTATTTCTCCATTCATCAGTTGATGGACATTTGGGTTTCTGCTTTGTGGCTGTTATAAATAATATGCTGTGACAAACATATGCTAGCTTTTGTGTGGACACTTCATTTCTTTTGGGTATGTAACTAGGGATAGAATTACTGGGTCATGTGATAGGTCTTATGTCTAACCTTTTTGTGAACTGCCATGTTCTTCTATAATGGCTCTGCAACACTAAATTTTAAAGTGGATGTTTTTGTTTTAGAACTCAAATTATTTCACAGATTTTAAACAAATTATTATAGCTAAATATTAACACACATAGTAAAAGCTAGTGTCATTATAGTGCTTCTCTTTGAGTGGTTTGCTCTCTTTATTGAATTTCACAAAGCTAAGTGATAAAATTCTTCAACAGCATTTTATAATAAGGTCTTTATGTCATGAATTCATGATTGTTCCTTTTTCCAGATATGAACCAGTGAAACACAAGATAAAATTGGAAGGAGAAAGGGAGGGGGTTGTAAAGAAGAGCAATTTTACAGAGCTTTATCTTCCAGTTTTTATGTTACTGTCTTCTGAGAAAAATTTTTACTTTTGCAGGGAAAAATGAAGAACGAAATTGCTGCTGTTGTCTTCTTTTTCACAAGACTAGTTCGAAAACATGATAAGTTGAAAAAGGAGGCAGTGGAGAGGTTTGCTGAGAAATTGACTCTAATACTTCAAGAAAAATACAAAAATCACTGGTATCCGGAAAAACCATCAAAAGGACAGGCGTACAGGTAAAAGATTAGGTTAGATGATTGGATTGGACTAAGTGAAAAGGCTGATCAACTCCAGAATTGAGTACATGACCAGAGGACTGAAGGTGTCCAGTCTGTGGCTCCCACAGTTTATTTGCAAAATACAGAACTCTGGGTGTCTCGGTATTTTTGCCTTGCTCATTTTAAAATACAAGCATCTGTTATTGGAGTTCAACTGCCTAGACTTGGAAAGCCAGTATTGTAGGCTCATAAGAGTTAGTCATGTAGTTCTAGTTTGGCTCTTGACTGTGTTTCTTTATCAAGGGTACTCTTACTTTTTCAATTTTAGAGGGCTCCCCAAAACTATCATCCATATATGAGCATGGTCAGAATTGACAGAAATGAGCCTCCTTTTATCTAAAATCACATTTTATGTTTTTTTGAAAAAATAAGAGTTTTATGGCAAACTAAAGTTAAGATTATTCAATATCTAATGTTTTCTTGATCAGGTTTGACTTATACTATACACAGTCTTTATGATAGAATCCAGTATAAATTATTTTATAGATGAAACACCCGTGTCCACAATTGACAAGTACTAGTTTGGGATTTTGAACTCAGGTCTAACTGACCCTAAATTCTTGTGGGCTTTCAGTACATTGCAGTGTGACTACTGCTTTTGACTCTCATAGGGAAGGTAAATTTCACTTCCAGCTGTCTTTCGCACGCTGCCTTGTAAGTTACATTTACAGTTTAAAGGAGAGCAGGCACTGGTGGTACGTGTCCTGGCAGGCTCACTGCCTGTGAGCATTTATGTGACTGCTTGGGAGCCAGAGTGGAACGTGTTCTACCAAACTCAGTGGCCCCATTTGTGGATGTAGTCATAGAAAATAATGGGAACAGTTGATGCTATCATGACTAGAAAAATTCTTTTATTTATGAATATTGCTTTTTCCAGAGTTTCCTCCATTAATCAGTACTTCACTACTTTGATGTAAAAAGGACTTAGTTTTAATTGCTGAGCTCTTCTAAGGGGAAGACTATTCAAAAGTCTACAAAGGAGGTGAAAATAGGGCTTGTTTCTCAAATGCCATAAGCTAAATGAGCATGTTTTATTGAAAAGAAAAATCAAAGTAAGTAATGTATTTTCCTCTTCATTTTTATCCTGAGAGGTTCCCTAAATTGGAAATTGTAAAATGTGAATTAAAATAGAAATGTGGATGTTCGTATAAAAGACTCAAGTTATTTTTTATCTTCTTACTTGAGTCTGTTAAATTTTTTTTTCCTGTACATCTTCATTTTTGATAGAGTGAAGCGCTTTTGTGAGGTAGAACTGTTGAGGCTTTTTACACTGATCTAATTGACATTGAACAAAGCCTTTTGGAAGTGCCAGGCCACCATACTATTACTGAAAAAGAAGAGACACTGTCAAGTAAATGCTTAAAGGTCAGACAGTGTACACTTTCATTTCCATTAATTCTAAAAACTTGAGGAAAAAAAGTTAGCCAAAAAGGATTAAATTGGCATGTGATCAGAACTATCATTATTGAGGCATTTTGAAACCATCTTTGAAGTAGAAAACTCTTAGACTTATATTATAAAAATGAATAGAATATAGGATTAACAAGAGTTCGTAGACTTGATGGGTATATTTTTTTTCTTCTAAAGTGTTTATAAATTAAAATAGTTTCTCTACAGTATAAACAAATAAGATGCTTTTGGAGGGTAATTTGACAAAATTATAAAGAGCTGAAAAAATATTCATATTCCTTGACGTGTAAGTCTACAACTATTCTAGAAGCATAATCAAATGCTGATAAATAGTGTATGAATATGGATGTTTCTTACACTTTATAATTGCAAAAAATTGGAAAGAACTAAACTGTCAGCATTAAGTAAATGATAGACTATTTCAATGCAACTTTTAAAATCTTGTTTTTGAAGAGTGGTTAATGGATAAGTAATCACATTATGTAAAATAAAAAACAGCATAAAAATACTTGAGATATGCAAATTTTGTTGAAGCAGAGTATATTTACATATGTGTTTTTTAAACTTAGAACCTATGACACTCTCATTGCAGATAACAAAAACACATTTAACATCTATCTCCTTACCCTTGACTACTTTGATCCTGAGGCACAGGGGACTTCTGAATCAGCACAACACTAGAATCTGTAAAATAGGACAGTCTTATAGAAAGGAACAGTATCATATGCTGTAAAATAACTTTTTTCACTCTGGTTTTGCTGAAATCTTAATAATGATGTTAAGATAGGTACAGACAGGAAAGATAATTGTTTGATAATATGAGCTCTGAAGTATTGAGTCCTGGATTTAATCCTGGATTCATCACTTTCTAACTGTGTGATGGACTAGTTATTCAAACTGCCTCCTTTTCTTACAATGGGGAAAATAGTATCTAGCAGTATAATTATGAGAGGTTAAAGAGTTAATAGATACAAAAGCATTTAGGTAACTGTCCTTTTCACAGTAAATTTCAAAAAGAGTTATGTACAATAAAGTTAATCTATTTTAAGTGTAAAATTATGTAGAAATAATTATTAGAGTTAATTTAAACTTTCAAGGTTTTAAATATAAATTGAGATCAATAAAGTAATAAAATATAGCACATTCTATTGCTATCATATTATTTAATGGTACAGTTACTATTTGTTAGTTAACTTGTATTTTTTATACTATAGAGTTGGATCTGAGGAAGAGGTGAAATGACTAAATGTAAATCTATGCAATAAATAAGTACTAGAACTAGTACTAAAATCTGGATTTTATTGATTTTTAGTTGTAGGCAGTGAACACTTGAATTGTAATTGCCATTTCTCTATGTAAATGCAGTATGCTTAATTGAACATGTATTTTTTCCATTCATACTGGAAGTCAGCTTAGAGCATTTCATTAGGTAGAAATAGTATATCTTAGCTTAAAAAATAATAAAAAAGAGCCTCAATTGGTTTAGAATTTTTTCTAATTTTTTCAAGTGAAATAATCCAATAACTCTTTAAAGTTATATTTTAATCTTAAGTATGTAATATGAATGACTGTTCTTGATTGGTTCTGTATAGAATAGTTGTAGGTAAGGTAAAGGACACCTTTCTTAATTAATATTTTTATTTTGCTACCTAGAATGTACAAGCAAGGTACCGACAGGTCAAAACATGTCACAATAATTCCAAATATTTTTGAAACATTGTGGGACATTTTGTTATATAGGAACTTGGCCTGTAAAAACTTTTACCTTCAGAGCTCTAAATCTCATACTCATTGTTCATGTGAGGTTGAATAGTTTCTAGGTAAAATAAGCCATTTCTGATTTCTGGGCTCACACAAATGTCCTCTTCTTTCCATCACACCAGGTAGTCTTGTTGGTGCTACTTCTCTTCCTGTAGTTCACATTTATTATTTATTTAAGGTAGATGTTCTGGGTTCTCCACCGGGGTATTATTTTTTTTTCTTAATTCGCATTGGCAAATACTAATAGACATGACAGTTTATGATTAAGATTTAATAAAGCTGTTATTTTTACTGTACTTTGTTGTAGATGCATTCGTGTCAATAAGTTTCAGAGAGTTGATCCTGATGTCCTGAAAGCCTGTGAGAACAGCTGCATTTTGTACAGTGACCTGGGTTTGCCAAAGGAGCTCACTTTGTGGGTGGATCCATGTGAAGTATGCTGCCGGTGAGTTCTTGAGTTTAGTGGCTAAACTGATCACCATGGGACTGGAACTGAGTTCATAAAATTGTTTCAAGTATTGCCTGCCTGTTTGTATTTATGGCCAGGAGCTCGTTGCTTGACTTCCTCAAATAGGAGTTTTTGTAAAGGCCTCATCTAAAGGTGATAGTGGGGCCTCCCCGGTGGCGCAGCGGTTGAGCACTGGGTCGCGAAGCTCCCCACAGCCTCTGCAGCGCCGGTTCGATCTCTGGCCACCGGGTGAGGGTCCCACATGGGGCGCAGATATCTCTCCTGCCGCCTGCTGCTCCTCTCAGCAGTGTACTTCGTCAGTCTGCCTGTTCTGCTTTCCGCTCTGACTCTGGTGAATTCTCTCACCCTCCCACGCTTCTGACTATACCCAGTGCTTGTATAAAAAATAAATAAATCTTAAGAAAAATAAAACTTGATAGTGAAGGGCTGGTTGCATTCCTGTTTTACAGCTAAAGAACCTCAGAAACTGGGTAGGGGTTTTCTAGAGCTTTGCCAAGAAGTTTACTGTAGACCAAGCAGTAGACTATAGACACAGATTCCTATAGGTTGGCTGTTGTTGTCTTTCATTGGTGGTCCACTTGTCGTTCCCCTCTTTAATTTAAGAAAGAAACTAATCCCAAATAATACTGGATAATAACCTTTGGCCTAGGAATAGCTGGCGACTTTATAATCTGTTTTTTCTATTTTTGGCTCCTCCTTTGTTTGATTTTTAGGTGACAGTGATATTTCCATGGTTTTGATTTCATAATGGAAATTATTTCTCTCATTTCCTAATAAACAGAATTGTAAAAGAATTCTGTTAGGTATGATCTAGTTGAATTCCATTCATTCTAAAAACATTCTTTTGGGACCAGGCACTTTTAGCTGTGAGGTTTTAAAAGATGAAAATGACGTTCTACTTTTAGGTAGTTCACAGTGTAATAAGGGAGAAGAAAGAATAAGCAGAATACAACAGTATGATTTGTACTATAATAGAAATATGTGCAAAACATAGTGGTTGTTGGCCCAAAAGAGAAAGTTACTGCCTGTGCCAGGAGTCGGGAAGGATTACTGAGTAAGTGATATTTGAGCTGGGAGAGGGAAAATGAGTTGCGGTTAACCAGGTGTCAAAGTGGATAGGACATTTCCAGATAGAAGGAATGGGATTAACAGATGCATGCCTCACCTACCCGTTCCCCAAACCCCCAAATGAGCAGTTTACTTCAGCTGTTCCTTTATAGAGTCATGTTATGTTCTAGAGGTGGTCAGACCCTTTGACCTCAAGACATATCTATCATACTAAAAATACACCATTATTCTTCCACTGATTTTTTTATGGACCACCCTGTAGTTGCTCGGTATAAGCTGTTGCTAAGGGCCTCCCCTGTTGGCGCAGCGGTTGAGTGCTGGGCTGCGAAGCTGCCTGCAGCCTCTGCAGTGCCGGTTTGCTCCCCAGCCGCAGACAAGGGTCCCACATGGTGCGCAGACCTCTCCTGCCGTGCCCACTGCTCCCCTCAGCAGTGTATTTCAGTCAGTCTGCCTGTTCTGTTCCCCGCTCTGGCTCTGGTGGATTCTCTCACCCTCCCATGCTTCTGACTACCCAGTGCTTGTATAAATAAAAAAAAAAAGCTGTTGCTAAAAGCTTGTTGGTTGAGGAAATGATGCGTAAGTAGTAGATTCTTCCATACTTGTTTTTTAGTTAGAAAAAGAAAAATGCAAGACCAGCTCAAGTTTTTGTCTGAGAATGTCAACGTTTTTAGATTTGGAGATTAATTAAAAACTCACCTTAATTTAGGGTTAAAGTTAACTACTGAACCCCTGCAGAAGACCTCAATAGCTGTCAGAGTTACTATGTTGAATTTCTTACTTTTTTATTAGATCCACACTTAGATAAGATCGACTCTTATTTAACATAGTTCTTTAAGTTGTGTAGTTTTTCAGCCTGTAAGAAATTGTAAGTAGCATTTTGAAACGGAGTTGTTCCCAGTAGTCATGAAGCTACCTGTAATGTTATGTAGTCTGACAAAGAGACAGTGGCAAAAAGCTAAAGAGCTAGTACAAATGTATTATCACCAAATCAGTAATATTTAACACAACAATCTTAAATCATTAGGAAAGAGTTGTTTTCATAGGATATTTAGGAAGTTGTGTAATTTTATGAACATTTTGCTTATAATTATTTGAAATGCTTAAGTGCTCAAGTAAAACTTTAGTTATGTGGACATTTTTATGTATATACTTCATGACTTGATGATGGCAGGTAATGAAAACTTACTGTGCTTTCATCTTTAATATAAGAAAATCTTTGTTCAGTAGCTTCCTAGTAATTTTATTTATGATTAAAATTCAAAAATGGATTTTGATGTGATTTTTTTTTTTTGGTTAGCTAATAGAAATCACCTTCAGAATGTGGGGCTCATTCATTGATAACAAATCTTCAAAAAAGATAGACATGCTAATGATGAGTAGAAATCATTGCTGTAAGCTAATTGAGGACATAGAGATGGGTCTAAAACTGGAAAGAAATAGTCTAAAACTTAAAGCTAATCTATTTATATAATGAAATAAATATCTGAAAGTCATTAACTATAATAACTCATTGGTAGAGACTAAGGTTATAGAAAAATTTTGAAATAACACTCAAAAAGAACATAGTTGCTAGTCTGAGTTATTTTATCAGGATAAAATATTGGAGGGATGCAGAGTGTTATATGTCTAGAAAGGGTATCTCTTAGGGAAATATTTGAGAGAAAACAGAATAAATAACAGATCTTTCCTATAATGAGAAAGTCTGAGACTAGCTCATGACTTTACTATCTATTTTACAAATTCTGTATCTTATTCTGTAGTTTCTATATTCATTTCTGATAAAAAGCATTCAATATTGATTTAAAATTAACTAAACCTTAATGTTTCAGTAGTGTCATTGATAAATGGAAAGTTAAAAGTTGTTCATTCTGATTCTGAAACTAACTGTACCTTCTAATGTTTCAGTAATACTACAAAGGGAAAGATGCAGAACCTAATTGAATTTGCATATCAAAGAAAAATGAGTTTTTAATAAAGCTGATCATTTCATCAATAGATGTCTATTCTTGGTTGCTGTTTCTATTACTTGGAAGATAGGAATTTTCCTCAGATTTCCTTCCTTTCTGTTTTGTTTGACTTTGCTTGAACTTAAACTCCATTAATAAGTATTAAATGGGTTTTCACTTAACTTCATAAAAAATCTTGCTGCAGAATGATACACATTTCTAGTTCTGGATCTGGCACTGAATTAGCTCTGTGACCTGGAACAAATCATTTATTTTCCCCAGGCCTCAGTTTCATATGTGCTGGGTGAGGAAGCTATAGCTGGCTGGATACTGGTTGGTCTTCAACTAGTGATTTGTTGAGTAATAAGATGTCTAACAAGGGCACATTTCTCACAACACAGAATTCTTATATTTTAAATTTACTTAGCATTGAGTTTTAGCAATTGAATCTTACATTTCTGTCTTCTCCAGGATTTAAAGACTCAGCAAATTTCAGTGTAATCAAAGGTTAATTCATATGTATTAATGCCAGTAATGTTTAACAATGGGCTTAGGCCTACTTTCAGTTTTGCTGTGTAGCAACTCTTTTTATGAGGTGAAATGAAAAATAAAAAGGAAGTTATGCCTCTATAAGAGGGGAAGACACCAAAGCTATAACAGAACTCACCTGTGAAACTACTCAATTTCCATATAAACTTTCAGAGGCTTTATTGCACGTAGGCTTAAGCTAGATAATCACCTTGATCAGAAATAATTTGAGATGAGGTATCTTGAAGTGAAATTTATTGACATCATAGTCATAGTTAGCCCTGTTTTTCTATTGAAGTTGTTTTTGTTTCTTAAGCTTAAAATCCATTTAATTGTCTTTCTAACTTTAATTACATGTATGTAAGAACCACTTAAAATTCACTTTGTTCTGATGTTAACCAGAAATTGTCTGATAATGTATATGTTGTGCAATCTATTTAAATAGATTTGCGGGTGTCTCCTTTGTTGTCTGAATGAAAACTCCTAGTTTTTCTGTTTACTATGCTATTTGCCTTCTTTGCAAAATTTATTTCCCTTTTTTTAGTAACCAGTAGCCAAAATTACATATTTTGACAATTATTCTTAGACCATTCGGTTTAAAAAAGTTCTGGAAGAATAAAAAGTCTTGCTCTTTCACTTTTTTTTTTTTGGCAAAGATTTATTTATTTATGCATGCGAGAGCTGGGGTACAGGCCAGAGATGTGGGGTGTTGAGAGGATTCACCAGAGACAAAGTGGAAAACAGAACAAGCAGACTGACTGAAATACATTGCTGAGGGGAGCAGCGGGAGAGACAGGAAAGGTCTGCCTCACCATGTAGGTTGCTCCCTGGCAGGCCAGTGATGGAACACCTGCTGCAGAGGCTGTGGATTGCTTCAGAGTGCAGTGCTTAACCCCTTGCGCCACCAGGAAGGCACGTTCTTTTACTTTAAAAAAAAAATTAAGGTGAGAGATAAGCAGTTACTCTAGGAATCTGAGAGGTAAACAATACAATCAAAACCTCTTTATTTTTCTTCAATAGTTGTGTTTCTTTAAAACAGTAATTACCTCAGTTATCTTTTTTTGTCAGGGAGGATAGAGGAAATACCCCCTTTTAATTCAATCATTATAAAAGTGAAACTCAGAAATATCTAGTCAATTGAGACTTGAATTACTTACTAAGGTATACATTAAATCCATATGCATTATGGGTTTGTTAAAAATACATTAGAAAAGTTTACTGTATGTGTAACTAATTTCAATGGTACATATAAAAATATAATCTAAACAGAATTTTTCTTTAATGTTTTAAACATCATTTTTCTTTTTAAAAATTTTTCTTTATGGAGAGAACATTGGTTTATAGCACTGTACATGACTTAGAGGAAGAGGTTGACACTTCAAGTGTATGTCACCACACTGTCTCCACCATGAAAGCACACATAGTCCTTTACCCTAGGTCATTATACCCGCTTGCCCTTCTCCCTCCACTCCCACACTGCCTTCCTCTTTAGGAGCCTTAATTCTGCATTCATATTTCTAGGATTTGTCTTGGTTTAGTTTTTGTCAGTTCCTTTTTCCCGTCTGTATTCCATGAGTGAAATCACCCTGTGTATGTCTTTGCCCTTCTGATTTATTTCACTTAGCATAATCTCTTCCAGTTCTAGCCATATTGTTGCAAATGACAAGAGGTCCGTCTTTTTCTTGTAGCTGACTAGTATTTCATTGTGTGTATATACCATAGCTCCTTAATCTGCTGCTCTGTCAGTGGGTATATATAAGGTCAAGTTCTGGGATGGTTTCTTCTTTAATTTGACCAATGGTGTGTCCAGACTTAGTTGGGTTTCATTTTTTATGAATATTTCAATTTTATGGGCATTTCATGTTTGATGCTATGAAAAGTTTGCAAGTTGTTTTGTATTTTTATTATTATTCTTAGGTATGGAGAGAAAAACAATGCATTCATTGTTGCCAGCTTTGAAAATGAGGATGAAAACAAGGATGAGATCTCTAAGAAAGTTACTAGAGCCCTTGATAAGGTTACCTCTGATTATCATTCGGGATCCTCCTCTTCAGATGAAGAAACAAGTAAAGAAGTAGAAGTGAAACCCAGTTCATTGACTGCAACCCCAAGCCCAGTGTACCAGGTAACCACATTGAAGCAGGGCTTGCCAGGTCATTGCAGGTAGTTCTGTTCATGTTGCCCAAAGTTTCTGATTGCGATGCTATACCACAGTTCTTACCTTTTCACAATAAGGAGAAGCTGCTTCTCTGAATTGGAAGTAGACATCCTGAGTCACTTTTTCAGAGGTCTCCTTGACTATTCAATAACTAGGATAAATATATTTTAAAAGGCGTGGCAAAGAGTAAAAAAATCTTGGTGATGAGATATTTCTAATGTTCTTAAATTCCTGTTTCTTATTCAGAAATGGCCAGTTACTGTCCTTCTTGTTTGACACTTCCAGTTTGTACCTTTGAGTTTAGCATTCTTGTTCTCTCCCATTCCATGATTAAGGAGAAACTTCGCTAAATTATATTAGCTAATTTTTCACTCAAGCTAAAACAATCACCCTTGCCACTTGAAGAGTCATACAGCAATTGTACATGAACTTAAAGATTTGTTCACCTACTTATTTTTATCTTACACACCAAAGAAAATTTAATATACTTTTAAAATTCTGAACAGACTACTCTTTAATAGAAAATATTTTAATGTTAAAAAAAATTAAAGAGGTCTTTTAAGTTGACTCTTATCCTACATTAAGTACTTTGTTTTTCTAATTTTGAATATATTTCAAATATACCTATCTTTGTTAATTTGACCTTAATTAGACATAATGAAACAGTTCATAAATAAACAGGTTTATGTTCAGCTTGAATTTTGACTAAAATGAAAACTTACTGGAATTTTTAAAATGAGAAACTAGACTATTACATTCAAAATACATTTCCAAATGAGTACTCTTTTAGTATAATTTTTTTATTTTGCCCCTGCCCCCCGAGGGGTTAAATTATCCTTCCTACACTTGAGGGAAAGAGTACATCTAAAAATAATGTTTTTAGGGGTGTATACATCTGTATATACAAACACCTGCTTTAAAAAAAAAGAAACACAACAACTTCAAATAGTATAAAGGAGTGTGATGACATATTGTCCCTCTTCCACCCAACCACCATTCCCATGTCCTTCCATGAAAGTATCCATTACCAGTTATTTTTGTATTCTTTCCAAGAGATTTTCTGTATAGATAAGTAGACATATATTTGTATTTCAGGGATGATTTTTAAGACCTTTGTCATAAATAATTTGGGTATTTTTTTTTCTTTGCTTGATGCATTAATATAAGTCCAAATTGAACTGATTGCTTTACTTTTATAAGTAAATTGACTTAATTTTTAGTTTGACTTTACATTATATTTATTTTTCAATGTTGGAAGACTGTTGGGATAACTCTTACAACAAATGGAAATGAAGGTTACTTTTTAGGCTTTTTAAGAAAATCATTTCTCCTTGACCTTATATTCACCAACAAAACATTTTATGGCAGAGAATTATAGTGATTATAAGCTATTGTATAGACAGCAGTGCAAGGGGCCCACTTTAATCTTTTCTTCCTATCCACTTTTTCATTTGAACTTGGCATTGTAGAAGCTTCAAAAGGGGTTAATAAAGTAAGGACAAAACATTGTAGCTTGGGGTCTTTTTCTCTGAGGATTCTTTGTGTTCTGAAACTAAACTAAAACTGTCCACTAATTAGGAAGTGAAGATTATGTTATTATAGCATTATCATATTTTTCCCAATTTATAGATTTAACTCAATCAAAATCTCAAATCTTTTCTAGAAAGTGACAGGTTGATTTTATTTTTTATTTATTTTTAAAGATTTATTTATACAAGCACTGGGGTACAGTCAGAAGCGCAGGAGGGTGAGAGGATTCACCAGAGCCAGAGGGGAGAGCAGAGCAGGCAGACAGACAAAGTACACTGCTGAGGGGAGCAGCGAGCGGCAGGAGAGGTCTGCACACCATATGGGACCCTTGCCCGGCGGCGGGGGAACAAACCTGCGCTGCAGAGGCTGTGGGCAGCTTAGCAACCCAGTGCTCAACCGCTGCACCACTGGGGAGGCCCGACAGATTGATTTTAAAATTTTTAAAAAGGAAAATGAAGTTGGAGGCCTCACTCTAATATAAAGCCATTATATTTATTAAGACAATGTGGTCATTGTTTAAAGATACAAAGATGGGAATAGTAGCAATTACAGGTGTAAATCATATAAATACAGTCAATGCCACAGCGATTCCATGAGGAAAATCTTCAAGAACTAGTACTAAAACAATTGGGTAATCTATATGGGAGGGAAAAGTGAACCTGATAGGATACATAAAAATAATAATTTGAGATAGATCATAAATGTAAATTTAAGCTTTTAGCATAGTATGTAGGGAAGTATATCATTATTAATTAGAAAAGGCAAAGATCTCTTCCAGGGGACACAAAAACTAAAAAGACAGTTTGCCTCCATTAAAATCAGAACTCTTTGCTCATCAAAAGAAACAATTAAGAACTTGTATTAGAATATTTTTAGCAACTTCTTTTATAATAGTTCAAAAGTAAAAAAAAAAATCAAGAATGGAAAACAGCCCAAATGTCTGTTAACAAAGGAGTGAGGGTAGAAAGGATTCTGTGTATTCATACAGTGGAACAATACCAATAAAGTAAAACTAATTGACACAATATGCAAGAACCTCAAAAACATTAGATTGAGCAAAAGAAACCAGATAGAAAAGAACACATGCTGGATAATTCCATTTATATGAGGTTCATAAACAGAAAACTTAGTCTATGATAAAATTCATCATAACAGTGGTTGCTTATGGGGTGTGAGGAGTAACTGGGAAGGAATAATTAAGATCCAATATTTAGTCTGTTGCTTACAGTTTTAAAATCCTATCAGCACCCCAATATAGGAAGAAATGAAAACATTTCATTTTGCTGCTACTCATTTGTAATATGTTCAGTTAGTTTGAACCAGAAGTTCTTTACTATTGTAGATAGTCAAGTAACTACAAGTGCAGAAAGCAATATATAGAATTGTGTGTATTTGTGTTTAAATGTGTGTACATACACACATAGGCATGTATATATAAAATATTACTAAAAGTATACACAACAAAATCGCATGACAGGGGAGTTGGGAAGCTGGTAATCAGGTAACGAAGGACTTTCCAATGTGTGAGTTTTTGTATCTTTTAAGTAGTCTGTCATATGAATGCCATGCTTTACATTTGTTTTAACAAGAGATAAATTATCTGTACTAAAAGTAGCAGATTAGAAGTCAGAGAACTCTGAAACACATAACCGCAGGTTTTAGCATTCTAACAGAGATCCAAAACTGTTGATAACATTGAAAGAATGTGAACTTGATGTCCCATCTGAGTTAATGGATAATCTAAGACTATTGTTTCCAAACATTAAACTGGCTTCATCAGAATCACCTGCAGAGTTCCATCAAAATACTGACCTTTTATTTCTAAGGTTTTGTTACTCTTACTGTTCAGTAAACTGGAACTAGAACATGACTGTTTTGTGTTTAACAACTCCTTAAGTGACTCCATTACTTAACCATACTGGTCTAAAACATGATGCCATTCATTTCTGTCTTTTAATCTTTTCTGATTCAAATAGCCAGAAATTCCTAGGGTTTTTAGAGTGCTATTTTTGAATTTATTCCTTTTCATTCATTCAGAAAACATTGCTTGATTACCTGTGTGTTCTTTTTAATGTACTTTTAAGGAGTCTGGAAAGTCACTTAGTTTTTACATAACATATGACTAATTTTTCCTTTGAATTGACTTATGTTTTCTCTTGCCTACAGATTTCAGAACTCATATTTCCTCCTCTTCCAATGTGGCATCCTTTGCCCAGAAAAAAGCCGGGAATGTACCGAGGGAATAGCCATCAGAGTCACTACCCTCCTCCTGTTCCATTTGGTTATCCTAATCAGGGAAGGAAGAATAAACCATATCGCCCAATTCCAGTGACATGGGTACCTCCTCCTGGAATGCATTGTGATCGGAATCACTGGATTAATCCTCACATGTTAGCACCTCATTAGCTGCTTTTTGATACTGTTGGTGTCATGTTGAGAAAAAGTAGAATAAACCTGACTACATAGTAAAAGTTAAAAGTTCATACTCATAGTAGTACAGTTAGATGGGCCAAACCATCAAACTTATTTTTATAGAGATGTTATTGAGAATAATCTTTCTTAAAATATATATATATATGCACTTTAGATATACTGATATAGTTTGAGAAACTTTATTAAAGTTAGTCAAGTGCCTGAGTTTTTAATATTGGACTTGAGTATTTATATATTGTGCATCAACTCTGTTGGATACAAGAACACTGTAGGAGTGGATGATCTGTTGTAGCACCTTTAAGCATTTACTTTATGGAGAGTATGTAAGTTATTTATACACAAGGAAATCTATTTTATGTCTTGTTGTTCAGAAGAATTGCGTGAAATCATGTAGTTGTAAATAAAAAGTAGTTTGAGGCATGACAGTGTGTTTCTGTTTTGTGCATTAAAAATAAGGGAGAAAGAACAAAGGGGATGTTTCATGTCAGAGTTCAGCAAAGAAAAAAATGATACCAAGAATTTAAATTTTTCCTTAAAAATAATTTTTTATTAACCATGTCTTCCTCAAAGGCTGTCGTATCAAAATAGGCGTATAAAAGGTCTAAAATTTGTTAGCAGCAGCTAACTGCAAATACAACTACAACAAAATATCCTTTTACCATTAAAGTGACTATGCATAGTATTTTCCTACCCAAGACTTTGGCCTGTACTGATTGTGATGTAACATCTGACTTTAATCCCCTATGCCATTTCACAAAGTAGATTTGTTTTTAACAACCACTCTAATCTCTGTGCCTGGTGCCTTTTTCAGTATGTTAAAGTCTTTTCTAGAGGTCTAAAGCCAAATAGTACAGTCCTTCACATTCTTCGGTAGTCCTTCATATTTATACCACTGTAATGTCATCAGTCTTGAAAGCGTACTTGAACTACAAAAAGAGAAAAAGAGATATGAATTTTTTTCAAAGATTTGAAGTGGCGGGGTAAATAGACTTTTCAAAAGCACCTAAGGATTTAATTTTAATATTACAAGTACTATACATCGCTGATAACCAGATAGCATGTATGTTTGGTGGGCAGACTTAAAATTCCGAACTAAACGCAATGTGGTTACAAAATTTTATCTTTGCTGATCTCTGTGCCTCAAAAGAAAGAGTCCAAAGTAATAAATGCTTGTAAAACAATGATAGTATTATATACTTTTCCTCCAATGCTCCCAATTACATATACCAATTGGATGGGGAAAATGTTAAAAATAGTACTTTGTGGGAGAAAAATGCCTAAAGAAATATCTAGGAATAAAATTTAACAACAGAAAGGTGACAGAAGATCCCATAAAGGAGAAAAATTTTAAAGAAAAAGAAATGATCTGAAGAATATACTATGTTTCTAATGAGATAAACTACCAATTTGGTCAGGGTCTCCCTGGTGGTGCAAGGGGTTAAGATGCAACCTATGAAGCTGTGCTCAGCCACTGCAGCATGAGTTCAATTCCCTAACCGCTGCCCCCCTCAGCAGTGTACTTTAGTCATCCTGCCTGTTCGGTTCCCCACTCTGTCTCTGGTGAATCCTCTCACCATCCCCATCCCAGGCCTGTACCCCAGTTCTTGTATGCATAAACAAATCTTTACAAAAACATTTTTAAATCTATGTATTACAAAACTTTTTCTTTAATATGTAAAATTAGTATTAATTGTAATCAGAATTCCCATGAAATTTAAAAGAACTTGAAAACCTGATTTTCCATTTGCGCAAAGAACAGTTCTCAAAAATAACCAAAAAAATGTTTTAAAGATGAGCATGTTATTGTTTTAACATGATTTATCTATGTATACTCTTATGTATGACATAAGACAGACTCTACCAATGAGACAAAATCACAAGTGCAGAACCACAAGTTTAATGCGAGGTGAATGTGACTTTACAAATAAATAATGGGTTGTCGGAAAAGTCATGACGTATTTTATGTTTTTGAAACAAAAATGGGTCATGATTTTTCTGACAGCCCAACAGTTCACTAATAGTGAATTAGTAGGCTATGCATCTTTTTCCGTTTATGGTAAATTCCTACTTAAGAATGTAAAAGGTTAATTATAGATACATAAAGATGAAATTATGAAACTAAAAATAGGCAATATGGAAGGTCATAGTTACAAACTTTAGCATAGGAATGTTTTCTCCACATGACAGAAAAATTGTGCTTTGAATTTGGAATTAGTAAAGCAAAACTTTATTATCAAAAGACATCTTGGCAGCAATCCCACTGCCCACCTGGGACTATGCAGGTGCCTCTTCACCAACCCTCTCCCTCTGCAGGGCAGCAGCCTCCTGCCTGTCCCTTCCGGGGCTTCTCTTCACTGACCTTCCTCAGTGGAGGCAGCTCTCCTCAAGGCTGCCCGCCTGCAACCATGCAGGCCTCTCTCAGCAAACCTGTCTCTTGCGGGGCAGCTCTTCCTGCCCGCTTCTGTCTATGCAAGTGTCTTTTACATCCTATCTCTTTTCTAATAAACCTCTTTAAATATTAAAAAAAAAAAAGACATCTTAAAAGACAAGGCCCAGAGAGAAAACTTCCAAAAAAGTGAAAATAATAGAACTTACGGGTTTGTCATAGAATGAAGTGAAATGATTAATGTAAAATATTTCAGTACCTGGCAAATACCAAATGCTCAATAAATTTTATTATTTTTACATAAGCTGGATGAAGTCTGAAAATAAATCCCAAAAATAATAATAGAACTCATATATCACAAGATATTAACCTTTATAGTTCATATGTATACTTAACATGCATAAAGCATTTTATGTAGCAAAATGGAATTCCATTTTACAGATAGTGTAAGTGTAATTCCATTCTTTGACAAAATTATGTCTGTTCTAGTATTACCCTCACCTTACACATGAGAAAACAGAGTATTGAAATAAATTGGCCCACGTGACCTAAATAGGATTTCAAATATCAAGTTGAACTCCAGGACACATTTTTAGGAGATAGAGGGTTGGAAAGATAGTCCTTAACTTCTAATAATGGTTACTCTTAAATTGTTAATGATATGTAAGCATTAGTATTTTGTCATTTAGAAAACAACAGGATCGATATGGAATTCTGATTCAGATAAAATTGCAATGAAAAGGAATAAATGACCTTATAAAGTTATTGGCCACAAGGGGGCATCAGATATTCTTTTCTAATTTACAAACAAATCTCCCTTCTCAAAAAGCATTAGCTTCTTTTACTATGGACCTACATGTAGAATTGTCATTGGTAATGTGGGATTTTAATTAAGCGTGCCATAGTTATTAACACAACAAAAGATTATAAACTTACTGTTCTGTTAAAGTAATATTATTCATTTAGGAGAAAAATACCTAAAAGCACAGAGAAAAGATTAATCCCTCCAGTGGAGATATTTTCGTGGATGGGAAATGTTTCTAAGAGAGTTTTTACTTTATATATTCCCATACTGTTGTGCCATGATAAGAAATATATTCATTTTATGGCCAATTTGAAAATGAACGTTTTATGTCACTGATTTTATTCTGAAACATTGTTTCATGGTATTCATATGTGTACACCTCAATTCCCAGGAAAATCACTAGATCAGGAATCTGAAGACCTGCATTTTGTTCCTCTGTGGCCTTAAGAAATCAAAACCTTTCTTGATCATGTCTTAAAAAATTCTATTCAACTAGACATAGCCTATGGATATTTTGGGTGTTGTGTTTTTACAAATTTTGAATTGCTATGTAATTTTCTTAACTGTATCACAAACCATTTGCCCACGCACAAAAAAAGTCTAAATCAAACCTACCAACACAAGATCACAAAGCCCTGTTGCTACTGTGCAGTGCATACATTGTCCTTTACCTATGCACTGGACATAGATTTAGTTAGCAGGGTAGAGACAGCATTTCCACTCACGAAATAGTTTGATTTTATTTCATTGTTTCTGTGAACACAGAAGATGTTCCCTGGGTCCTCCCTTGGGCACAGGGGTGAAAGTCTCAGCTCTATCAAGCTATCACCAGTCACTGTGGCATGAGTTTGATCCCTGGCCAGCAAGCTAACTCACATGGGGCAGCAGACCTCTCCTGTCTCTTCTGCTCCCCACTCTGTCTCTGGTGAATCTTCTCACCCCCTGCACCTCTGGCCTACACCCCAGTTCTTGTATACATAAGTAAATAAAAATAAATCTTTAAAAAAAAAAAAAGATGTCTCATCAGGTCAGGAGTGGTGGAAGAGGAATGTTGGAAGACTTTCATTTTCCCACAGGTTGCAATTGCAGTCTTTGCTATCTTCATCACAGTTACTCCTCATAATTGCAAGCTCATTCTACTGCTCCCTAAAATGTCCTCACTGCTGACATTTCTGGAATATGAGAGGAAAAATGTCCTACTTAGTGACACTGAAAGAGCAAAATGCTAGTAGTCATCATTCAACTTGGACTAGTGTGTGACAGCTAACCTCACAGAGGAACTAGACACATCTTTTCAAATGCAAGATAACTCATGTTCTTCACTAGCTTAGTTTGTGCTGATTCCATAAAGACTATTCTGAGCAAGAACTCCAGAAACTTGAAGAAACTAAAGATAAATTGAGAAATACTGAGGGAAAGATATGGGGTGATAGCTTCATAGGAACAAAGTCAGATCTGCTGCAATTATTAACGAAAATCACCGAGACTCCAACTACATGTTAAACGTTAAATGTAAAGATGCCTCCACTTCCAAGAAGTCTGACTTAGTGAGACGAGATAAACACGCTGAAGATACAGTTGAGAAGGAAGAAGTCACAGAACCAAGAAGTCAGTTTTGGAGGATTAGGATTAGGTCAGAAACAGAAAAGACCAGAAACAAAGCAAAACTATAAAGTAGCAAAAATAAAAGTTGCATTTCATATCATGAAGGGCTCATTTTGTTAATCCTTTAAGAGTAGTAATACAAAATAAAAATGGAGAAAGCATATGAACACTTGTCAAAAATACAAATGGCTTTTAAACATAGGAAATGTCTGAACAAAAAGAAATAGAATTCTAAACCATGAGATAATTTCTTCTCAGAGATTGGGATAGATCAAAAATTGGATTAGAGTATTACTGGTGAGGATGTGGGGAGAGGTAAGCACTCTCATCCACTGCAAGCAGAAGCTGCTACAATGTTTAAATAGGTATTTCAATAATATATTAAAATATTCTTCACTCACCATGTCCCATTTAAAAATGTACTTTAAAGGTATATTTATACTGGGCTTCCCTGGTGGCTCAAGGGGTTAAGCACTATGAAGCAATCCACAGCCTCTGCGGCATGAGTTAAATCCCCAGCTGGCCAGGGAGCTACCCACATGGCGCAGCAGACCTCTCCTGACTTGCCCGCTGCTCCCTTCAGCAGTGTATTTCAGTACATCTGCCTGTTCTGTTCTCCATTCTGTCTCTGGTGAATCCTCTCACCCCCCACACCTCTGGCCTGTACCCCAGTTTGTATCCATAAAAT